GGCTAATGATTTATTTCCAGAAGCTTCTAGAAACCCTTCAGGTAGAAGAGTGTTAGATAGCTGCCTACTTAACCCACCACCATCAGGCCTGCTGTTTTCTCAATGTCCCAATTACCTGAATCAGTCTGTGCTGCAGACAATCACTTCTGTTCTTTTCACCATCACCACACTGTGACCTTTCCCAACATTTGCCATGACAAAGATCATAGTTGGTTCATTCTGCCAACCCACTGATTCACCCAGCCTACTGAATCAGGAATTTGTTACAAACAATCAGAGGGTTGTTTGGACATGGCAATTAGTGATAAAGATCAGGGAATAGAATAATTCTAAACACTTGTCAGTTGTAGGGATGTTGCTTTGTCAATCTACACACAACAATAATGCTGTATGCCACATGGGTTGGCTTATTGATCTGAGCCTCAAGTACCTTGCTGGGCTTTTTAGAAGCAATGTCCAAACCCTAGCAGGTTCAACTCCTTATCTCATAAGTGCTAGGAAAATGTATTAGTTTGTTTGCTTGTGATCTTGCATGAATCAGATTGCAGAATGAACTACGGCTGACAACTTGAGAAGAGACTGCTTTATCGTAGCAGAATAATCACAACACTCACAGTTTCTCTATTCCAGTTATTTAAGAGTTTGCTGATTGGATGCAGGTGCAATTCATCTTTTGTCCACTAGTCCATGTTCTACATTACATTTCAATCACCTGCTCAAATATGGCTTTCCATATCACAGATTATTTCATTTAGCATTAAGGCAAAATTGTGATGAAGAAGACCATTTGGCTGGCTTGCAGTCTGGAAGTCTGCATGCCTGAGATGGAAAATACCTGATCGACCATTGTTTCCAGCTTCAAAACACTGTATTTTGTGGATTGGGCAGTAGAGAAAAAATGAGTCTCCAAATAGCATGCATGCTTTGGGTTGAATCAAGTTTTGTCTCATCAGCATGTGCTGATCTACTGTCCCAGCACAAGGGAGGAAATGCTTTCAGGAACATGAGAGGGAGAGCAGTTAAAAAGGGAAGGGACAAAAATAATCCTTCTTCATTGTACAACAGACACTTTCTGATGTATCCTCCTTCAACCCAACCAAAGTCAAGCAGCTTGAATATGACATGTTATGTGCATGAATCTGCTAGAATCCCCAGACAGTAGAATTTGCTTGTCCGATACATAGCACTTCATTTATTTGTTTTATGTTCTATTCAGCTGCTGTGAGATTTCAGTGGGGGAGGGAATCACTCCCAATTACTGTGGAGAAATAGAGGCTTGCCCTAGCATGAACAAATCCTTCTCTACAGGAGGCTGTGCACTTGAATTCAGAGCAAGGACTCTCCTGCCTGACACTAAGTTAATATTCTCAAACAAAAAACTTTGTTAAATTTCACATAAGGTTACTAAATTATTCTCCTTTTTAACAAAACAGTAATAAAAGAATGTGGTGGCCCAAAATCTTAGGGCTGGTCTACACTGGGGTGGGGGGGGATCGATTCAAGCGAATAGCTTAGCTGAAGTCGAAGTATCTTGGATCGAATTACCTGGGGTCCACACGGCATGGGATCGACGGCTGCGGCTCCCCCGTCAACTGCGCTACCGCCGCTCGCTCTGGTGGAGTACCGGAGTCGATGGTGAGCACGTTCGGGGATTGATATATCGCGTCTTAACAAGACGCGATATATCGATCCCGGATAAATCGATTGCTACCCGCCGATACGGCGGGTAGTGAAGACGTACCCTTAGAGTAGATTGCAGTATCTGGGACTGATCCAAACGCCATTGAAATCAGTAGGGATCTTTCAACTGACTTCAATGGTCTTTAATTAGGTGCTTTAGTCATAGTCCACAGTAAGGAGTTGTCTCATCCCAGGGGGAGTTCTGGATGTTTCACGTGCCAGGTAATAATGTGCGTGGACTCCAAGTTTGAAAAGCTAATCTGTCTCTTTATTCACAGGTGCTGGAACATAGGGTGTGTGTGGGTGGGAGTTGGGGGGGAGGGGTCTGGCTGGCTTGAAGAGGTTTCCATTATATAAAGGGTTAAGTCGGTTATTTTTGTCAAGGTCCATATTTCTTGATCAAGGTATAGTTAAGGTCCAGACTCCAGAGAAAATAATAAAATTATAATAATGCTAATAAATACATAAAAATATTTTGGGGTCCATTCAAAAACATCTGGCGGACCAGATTTGGCCCACAATCTGCCTATTGACTACCCTGGATTTACAGTTTGGTTCAATGGCTCTCAAGACGCTCACTATACAAAGTGTTCTAGCACCCCGTCTTTATTAAAGCTACTGTTTACAAAGGTGCTGCAACTTCAGCTAGTATTTGCAGCATGTGCACACTGACTGATTAATTTGTTCCTTTCCAAACTCTTTCCTCCTGCAGCCCATTCTCCAACTTCCAAGTTCCCTGCAGGTTGCTACACTGAGAAGCATCTTGCACACCTGCTACTACATCTTTTTGTAGGGCACTACTTATTCCCCCATTTAGAGGGTCAGTTCAACTTGCTAGTGGAGTGGGGTTAGTCATGGGTGGAGCTCTACTGTGCCACCCTTGGCAGAGCAGTGTTCTACCTGGGAGTATAGGGAAGGAGCAAATCCCACAGTCCTCTGAGCCCAGGGAATGGAATTCTGCCTTGGACCTTGAATGAGACATAAAGCAGAGGGTGGGGGTTGAGAGGCGGCTCCCTAGGGATAATCTCTAGCCCTTAATTGGAGAAAAGTTTGGAAATTCACTGTCAAGGCTACCCATGTATGTCAATTACCAATAACTTAGAGTTACTTTTAAAATTTACTATTTGAAACTAAAGCCTTTCAAATGAAACCTTTGTTCACCCTCTTGGTGTTGTACATGTTATGTTCATGGCATGCATATAGAAAGGTTAGATAAAAACATATTTTTGAAAGGTTGCACTGTAAAGCTATTTTATTTCTTAAAATCTAGAGCCTTATCAACATAAGAACCAAAAACACAGAGAGACAAAACAGGCTGTTCCCTAAACAGAGAAGCACAACTCACCCCATCTTAATGTAAGCTGTCTGTCTGTTGCAATCTGACTGCTACTAGGCCCAGATTGCACACAGAGCCCCCTACCATGCATGGAGAACCAGGAAAACCCACTGAGCATTTAAAAAGTGACAAAGAGTCCTGTGGCGCCTTATAGACTAACAGACGTATTGGAGCATAAGCTTTCGTGGGTGAATACTAGGGTATCTCTTCATAAAATATAAACAGCCTAAGGAACCAATAATACAATCAGAATGCTGTTGGAACAAGTGTTTTCAGTTACTTTAGTTTTCTTTTTAACATGGAACTGGGAATAGACATGGTGCAACTCACATAACATACAAAGTGTTTGTTTTTTCCTGGATTGG